CTGGCCCGAGATGAAACATACACATAAAATACACTCACAAACATCATTTATATTACTTTTCCAAATTTTAAAAATGTTTCCAGCTTTAAGAGTAACATTAATAAATCAAGTCTTTTTTATTTATAATTTAAACTGTATTGCATTTTCAAGGATAACATTATATTGATTCTAACATTTTAAAAAAAAACATGCATTAGGATATTAGTTTAATTTATTCGAAGATTTAAGGTGTGGAAAAAAAAATATCATTAGAATAAAAATGATATATGATAACTAATTGCTTTTTAAAAACAAAAAGTCCAATTTTTAATTATATTTAGTAGAACAGAAATTGCTTTGAATAGATGTATGGCATAAACACGTACACTAACACAGTTATATTTCCTTTTCAATATAAGCCAGAATGCTTAATAAATAATTCCGTGTTACTTGGTCTTGTCAAAGTTCTATTGTAAATATTGTCATTTGGTGAATGTCTCTTTTATTCTATTTAGTTTAAAGTAAATAAATTAAAATTGTTTTGTCACTTTTATAATTCATTGGTAAACTTTTAAATATTATAATTGTAGACGGTTTTTTTTCATACTTGAAATTTTTACGTTCGGTAACTTTAGAAAATTAAAGGTGGATATAACAATTATATGACTGTAACTGTAAGTTTGTTTACAGTTATCCACAATTAAAAATATATTGTTTTTTCTATACTGAATTACATGCTCCAAATTGTTAAACTCAAGACAATAATTGCTTGTCTTTCAAACGTGTTTACATTTCCAAAATACTTTAACATTAACCGAAAATAGTGTCCACGCTATACTACTGATTATCAGCTGAATAATAACAATTTAATATTTGTAGCTGATGTGTTGTTTTAATTGTAGTAAGGATTGTTATAAACTGTATGATACTTATACTAGAGATTCTGTTGAAAGTCTGTTTACATAATAAGTAATGCAGTATGTTTGCAATTGATTTAATATAGGTTTATCAGGGTAAACAATATAAAAATTAGGAGCAATGAAAACAGCTTTTTTTCTAATGTGCTTGTTTGTAATTATTAATTTAATCAAATTTTAATGTATTGTTTACACTTGCTTAAAATAAATAATGAGTGCCTATACAATTTTGGCAATACAAATTGCCAAATATAATGCTGTATTTGTAAATGTATAAAATTTGAAACTTAAATGTCCAATTTACTCTAAATTAATGTTTACATTCTGTATTGTTTTATGTTTGTGTTAAATGTATAAACATTTAAAACGCTAACTTTTACTTTTACTTTAAATAATAAGTGACGTAGTATGTTTGCAAAACATATTATCCACATAACACATGATTTATATTTTCTTGTGATAATTAATTAAAATATTTAAAATACAAGGAACTAATTGAATAATAACATCACTTTAAACGTTAAAATAATTTTAATTTATAATAAACAAACTAAACTTCTAGAGTTGTATTGCACGTTTTCTAGTATCGCGTGGACTGTTAAACGTTATTATTTTACAAATGCATTTATTTTAATCTAATTTGTTTTTTTTACACTGGTTAAAATGAAAGGACAAACATTTACATATACTTTTTACATATATTTTGGCTTAGCTGCAGATTTATTTAAATATAAACAGAAGTGTTTAGGAACAAAAGTAAGTTTTCTTAGACTAAAATTTTTTTGCACCGGGGTAAAATATTTAGATACATGTCATGCATGCTGATATAAAATTAAAATATAATAAAACAAATATATATACGATCATATAGACTTTAATATTAATTAATTTATTTAAACACACAGACACACACATACACACATACACATACACACACACATACATATATATATATATATATATATATATATATATATATATATATATATATATATATATATATATATATATATATATATCTAATATATAAAGCTCAGTTCTGTATGTAATGCATTTGTATGTCGTTGGAATTGTACGAATTTAAGTGTTAGAAAATTATCGTGCGCATTTGTCTAAATGTATGAGCTAAAAAATTACTATTGAAAGTGTTGGGAAATAATTTTCATTTTTCAAATTATAGTAATAATTGTCGGCATGTTCATTAAACACAAGTTTTAAAAAAAATATCATCTTTTACAAAAATTCTAATTATGTCTTTATTTAGTCCTATAGCACTTACTTCCCTTTGATAAATTAGGAAAAACACAATTACTTCCCTTTATAAAACCATTGCATTCCGTGAAAATAATTTACTTTTTAATTACTTTGTTTTGGTGTTGGGAAAAAAAATAATTACATAATTAGCGGGGATTGATCAAGTGCAAATGTTGTAGGTATTTTACGGATAAGCTTGGAGTATTAAAATTGTTTATTAAATTGAAACAGGCGCGTTCGTTTAAGTGAGTGCAAAAGACTGTGAATAAGTTGGGGTACTATAGTCGTTCATTAAGCTAAAACAGGTGATTCCGCCCCGGGCGTTTATGTTCGCGTTAGTGTTTTCTTTGTGTTTAGGTGGGTTTGCGTTAGTGGTTGCGTTTTAATTTGGTTCGTTTTTGTTCTTTCTTTTTTCGTTTTTGTTTGTGTTTTTTTTGTTTGGGTTTGTATTTGTGTTTTTGGTTGGTTTTGCGTTTGGATTTGGTTTGTTTTCGTTTGCTTTTTTCGTTGATTTTTTTTTTGTTGGTATTGGTGTTTGTGGTTGGGTTTGTTGTTAGGTTTTTGTTTTCGTTTGCTTTTTTGTTTGTTTTTTCTTTGTGTTTGTATTGGTGTTTGTGGGTGTGGTTGTGTTTGTTGTTAAGTTTTTTTTTTGTTTGTATTTGTAATTGTGTTAGCGTTATGTTTGCGTTTTGTTGTTTTGGTTTTGGTTGGTTGTGGTTTGGGTGGGCAATGCCGGGTTTATGATGATTACTAAACACACAGGTAATGGTCTTTAACAGAAAGGTTTTTCACAGAAGCCAGAGCAGGGCCTGGCCGGGACGGCTAGTATATATATATGATGAAATATTTATTTAACAAAAGTAAACAGTATTGGTGGTTAACTGAAAAGTTTTAATCTGTTGATACAAATTTGCGTTACCAAAAATACTAACCATTCCTTGACAGATACAATAATATTTTTAAATTGTATTGTTGAAGCACGCTAAGTTCATAACTAATTGTGAATACAAATGTTGTAACAAAACAATTTCTACAAAACAGTCGTGCAATTTATTGATAACATACAATGGAAATTCACCCTCATAGACAATAGAAGGGACACGACTCATGAATAAATCGCTGTTAACATTAACAACTTACTAAAAATTGCTTGTAAATGCCTTACTTAAATTTAGAAAATAAAAGTAATGTATTGAGTGTTAATAAATTAAATTATATTGCAATGAGTGATTTGGCCATTATTTCATTATAGATCTTTAATAACTTACAGTGGTTATAACTAAAAATTAAAACAAATTAAAAAATACATATAAGTGTTATTGACATTTATCGTTCATTCAGTCTACTTAATGTTATTTGCGGTCAAGTCGTAACAACTAACGTATTACATTTTGTATCTTCAATAAGGAAGATACAGACTATGAAATACAAGAACATTATCTTAAGTACACAACAAGGCTAGACAACAATGACTGTACCAAAATCAACGCGCCAATTACTAAAGAGGAAATATCCAAGACTATAGACGGACTAAAACTAAATAAAGCTCCAGGACCAGACGGACTAACCAATGAATTTTATAAAACCTTCAAAAATGACTTAATACTCCTTTTACACGCTACATTTCAGGACATACATGAAAGAGAGGATTGTGCTACAGATTTTAACAGGGCATATATAACACTCATTCCCAAAAATGATACGGACAGGACAAAAATTATAAATTACAGACCTATATCTTTACTTAACAGTGATTATAAAATATTGACAAAAACTTTAGTTAAGAAACTCGAACCCTTCATATCTAAATTAATACACCCCGATCAGCAGTATAGCATACCAGGTAGAAACATACACAACCACACGCACTTAATCAGAGACATCATACATTATAGCACGCAGAAAGACACACAACTAGCGATTCTTAGCATCGACCAACAGAAAGCGTTCGACAGAGTAGATCATACATGGTTAATAAAAACAATAGATGCTTACAACCTAGGACACTATTTTAAAACATGGATAAAAATAATATATAACAATGCACATAGTCATTTATTAATAAACAACAGTGTTACAAGCGCTTTTCACATACAGAAATCAGTTAGACAAGGTTGTCCTTTATCTCCCCTACTATACATCCTAAGCCTAGAACCCCTACTAGAAAACATTAGACAGGAGAACTCGATTAAAGGACTGTACATTCCAAACACGGTAGGCAAGAAAATACTTGCATACGCAGACGACACTACTTTCTTAGTACAAACAGAAAAAGCAATACAGACTGTAATAGAAAAATTCAACAACTTTGGGAAAGGGAGCGGTGGAAAAATAAACGCAGAAAAATCAAAAGTAATGGGTATAGGTAAATGGAAAGGTAAAGATAACTATCACATAGACATAACAATAACTGACAAACTCAAAATTTATGGAATAACCTATACTAGCGATTCCACAATAAACGACCAAGAAACTTGGACCACACTGGAAAATAAAATAAATCACAATCTGGAAAAATACCAATACTGCAATACAACCATTTTTGCCAGAGCTGCATTAGTAAACAGATATATCATTCCAAAAATAATTTTCATAGCGACGAACTCTACAATACCCAACTCATTTATTAAAAAAAACAAACAAGCACATTAGAGAGTTCATTTTCAAAAATACGATTAGAAACATTAGCCACAAAACCTTAATAAAAAATAAATTAAATGGAGGTATAGGGCTACACGACATTCAAACTAAAATAAACACCTTCCGATTAAAACACCTGGATAGAATAAGGATAGAACCACATTATCATCCATTAGCACAATACTACATTGGGTTAAACATAAAGAGCATTTTAAAATTAAACATCATAACACCACATTACGGGGGAAATGACATAGGCAGCTTTTATAAAGAAACGCTAGCAACATTCCAAGGAAACAAAAGCATTATTGGGGAAGACACACAAAAAATATACGACATCCTAATCAAACAACAAGCGACACCCTTATACACGAGAATTAGTTGGGCCAGGGAACACAATATAATAGACATTAAAGATACATTTAGAAACCTACATAATAAACGCATTACACCAAAAGAAAGGGAAATAGCATACAGACTGATTTTTAACACAACTCCAGTTTCACGAAATACAAAGTCAAATCAAAATGTTAAAATAACATGTCAAACGTGTAAACAAAATATACAAGAAACTGAGAAACACATTTATTTAGATTGTATATTAGTACAGAAAACAAAGCAAACACTTGCGAAAATATTAAACACCACCAATCAAACAGCCACAACAAATAAAGCAATCACACTTAATTTAATTAACACGACTAGACAAAGAACAGAAGACGAAAACAGACTAGTAGCAACTGCTATTTATAGATCGACTATATGGCAAATTAGGAATAAAGTCAGATATTTTTTCACAAAATACACGGACATCGAGTTAAAAGAAATATTTCAAGCAAAGCTAAGACATAGACTGGGAACTCTCACTTAACTGAGAAAAAAAAAGAAATATACAGGAAAGAAATAAATAAAGTATTAATTTTAATTTAGACAGTCTCAAGCCAAACATCACTCGATCAGCCCCCAAGTAAATTAACATTAGAACAGTCTTCTGTTTCCCGGGTTTTAAAATGCACAACCTGAATGGTAGAAAGAGATACCTACCTCAACCCCCCCCCCAACACACACACACACACTTCCCCCCCCCCCCCCACACTCAACCGGACTGGCGGACATTTCAAGGTAGCGTGCCCTCATTGCCAAGGGTCAATTTTATGTCATGGAAAGTTTAGGAATGATAGATCAGTACGTGATTACAGAGACCCTTCTCCTACAGTCGTTTCTTTTTCTGTCCATGGGTGGCTACAGTGTGAACTTTTGACTCCGCAGCACACTAAACTAAGCAGTGAAGAGAAACCTAGTTTGCACACCTTATTTTAATCTAGTTCTTATGCCATTTTATTTTTTCCCTTTGATTATTATATATGCAATTGATGTTCATTGTTCATGTCTTTGATGCTATGTAAAATCTATCAAATATATTATTATTACTGATTTAAATGTTTAAAACAATTGAATTAATAAAAATAAAAATAAATAAAAAAATCTACCCCCTCCTCTCTCCCCCTCTATCCACTTTACCCCCAGACATGATAACCCCACAATCCCTTTAACTGTTGCAACTACCCCACCACCCACCGCAACATCAATATCCAGAACTTATTTAAAGTTCTAAATCTTGTCTCTTTCCCCTCATCTTTAACACTGCAACCTTTTGAAAACTCAAGGCGACCACTACAACACCCTTTCAACTAGTCAACTTAAGTTGTTTCCCTACATAGAAAATGCTTCACTGTCCCATTGACCCTCTCTGAAAAATTTCCTTTCCTCTCCCCACCCAGACTTCTGACACTTTCATTTGACCTTCACCCCTTTTACTGTCGTCCTTTGCAATTTTTTTTTTATAATCAAATACATGACATCATGTAAATATTCATTATGTACATTTGCAAAACCTTTTGTTTTCATTTGGTGTTCAAAATTATGTTACAAAATTTGATGTTGATGTACTTGTTTTAATTGCAAATAAAAGTATTAAAAAAAAAAAAAAAAAAAAAAAAAAGTATTACATTTTGTATCAATTGATTGTCATAAGCAGTTTATACAATAAAACAACAAAAAGACCAAGTTGTTGTTGTATTGACTGTTAATATTTAGATAGTAAAAACAATTTTAGAAATTCAATTTCTTTTATCTGTACTTTAAAAAAGAAAATTAAAACTACCGTGACAGTTTTCATTTGATAAACAAGAAAAATAAAACAATAATTTATGCTTCACTTTGTTTCAGCATTTGTGTGTATTTTTATGTGTATATGCATGTGAGTAATTTGAAGACAGTCTTGTCAAGCGTTTAAATTTGGGCGTTTTTTTTATATAAATTTTAAATATTACAATAATTTCAGTTGAAAGGGGGAGTTAGGGGAGGGGGCATTGCCATCATGTGTGTGAATATTACAGTCATTTCAGTTGAAAGGGTGAGTTAGGGGAGGGGGCATTGCCATCATGTGTGTGAATATTACAGTCATTTCAGTTGAAAGGGTGAGTTAGGGGAGGGGGCATTGCCATCATGTGTGTGAATATTACAGCCATTTCAGTTGAAAGGGTGAGTTAGGGGAGGGGGCATTGCCATCATGTGTGTGAATATTACAGCCATTTCAGTTGAAAGGGTGAGTTAGGGGAGGGGGCATTTCCATCATGTGTGTGAATATTACAGCCATTTCAGTTGAAAGGGGGAGTTAGGGGAGGGGGCATTGCCATCATGTGTGTGAATATTACAGCCATTTCAGTTGAAAGGGTGAGTTAGGGGAGGGGGCATTGCCATCATGTGTGTGAATATTACAGCCATTTCAGTTGAAAGGGCGAGTTAGGGGAGGGGGTATTGCCATCTCCTCCAGCAAAGCTATGTCTCTGATAACCAAAATTCCACCATCCTGTATAGACCATAAAACTAATGACAGTGAAATAGCTGCTTGTAAGTGGCGGAAAACTTGGAGCTTGTCGTGACGAAGATGATAAAATTAACCCCACAGCTGAGCTGGTACAAGATTTGCTTGATGCTTTTGATGAACAGGCCAGTTTTCTCGGGGACTGTGGCGTAAAATTGATAAAAATCTAGCACAGCCGTCGGCACCCACACCATGAATGTCACGAAGCAGACTACGAGGAGCATCTTAAAGACCTTGAGCTCCTGGACATTCGACTTGGTAGATTTTAAGATCCTGTACTGGAGTTGTACGACGATGAGCAAGGAGCTTAAGCTGATGATGAACAGGGTGACGATGGAGCAGAAGACGTTTAGAACTCCGAACACGTACGTGCCGATGGCGTAGTAGTTGTCACGGTAGAAGGATGTGTACGTTTCCATGGCAACCGTCGCGTTGTACGCGGCGTCATAGGACCAGGAGAAACTTGTTCGAAAAAACCAAGGCGACATTAGACCAAAAGCGAACAGATAGGTAACAGCTACGGTACGTTTGGTGTTTTTTGGTGTGAATATTCTCGCTACATGCAAAGGAAAGCTTACAGCTATTAGTCTTTCAACGGAGATGATTGTTACTATAAATATACTGATCACGATCATAGTACTTGCCAATGAGGACAAGAACACGTTAGTGAAGGTTTGATATGTTAGAGCCATTGGGGGATCGTATTTATAAACAACGCATTTGAGTTTTTTGACGCTCATGAGGATCGAATAGCCGAAGTCGCTGACTGACAAAGATATCAACATGATGTTGGTGGTGCTTTGCAAGCCGTTGTGGTAGAGAACTACGACGTTGAAGATGTTGCCTAGGATTCCGAAGACAGCGAGGAGGTGGTAGATTACACAGTTGAAGAGAAGATCCAAGACGACGTAAACATCACTGCTGAGATCGTTGGTGCTTTTAGTGGGCTCTATAGCATCAGTGACCGCGTCCCAGTCTAACGTTGTGATAGAGTCTGTAGCGTTTGGTGTTGTCTTGTATGCCATGGAAAATATTTATTGAGTCTTCCGAGTTATGTAAATTTATATTTTAATCTTTTTGTAGACAGAAAACAACTTTGTTTAAGCTTAATACCGATAAAATCAAAATGATTTTCACGTTCATTATATCCTTCAAGGTTTAAACAAATTAGCTAGAAATAATGCTTTATAACATTCTGAATATTGTTTACTTCCTAATGTATCATTGCTATCCAATTTAAACTTATCGAACATTCAGATGAAACTATAAACGACTGGTTTATATATAAAAAATTTAACTTATGGAAAAAGAACAGGTACACGTGTGTCCATATATATGAATGCAAAAAATATTCTATTAAAGAAAAACATAAATTTTAATCATTTATTGATTTTTTTTCAAAACACATTCGGTAATGCGTATGATAGATGAAGAAATTACATTGTCGATAATTATTGTAGCTTTATTATTTGGATGAAGTTTCCGTTTAAAATTTCCCCTTACTTTCACACCAATTTTGTCCTTCATTTGAACACAGTAAAGTGTTTCTAAATTTAACAATTGCGAGATCTGATCATTTATATTTAAAAAAAAAACGAAAACAATTTAGCTATGCACATTTTATTGCAAAAAGAAGAGCTAAACATTTACAAATATAATTATAAGAATTTTTTTTTCTAGTTGGTTCTTTAATAGTGCTCATTTTGTTACATTAGCAATTATTTCGATTTACGATTTAAAACAATTTAAATAATTTGTGGATTAGCAACATACTTAAAATGAGTTTAAGTAATAGAAAAATCGCAGTAACATTTTAATATTATAAAACGTTTTCTTTTTGTCGATATAAAATTATCCAATTTGTTCTAGGTACTAACATTTTCTTAACCTCTACGTTCCATTATCAAGTAAACTGTTAATCATATTTCTCCGTGGATCGACAAAATTCGATGACTGTTTTATTTTTTTTTAATGGGACAATTACTGTCAAATACAGATTAAAGTGTCCAAAAATATTTTTTTCACGACCTTTGCAAACCTAGTTGGGTGGAAGTCGGAGATTTTTGTTCAAGATAAAAAATAAGAGAACATTTTCTAAGAAGTAACATTATGGGATAAAAGGTTAATAGATAATAACAATTCTTGATTTTGTGATGTGTTAAGTGTTAAAATAAATATAAATTTCCTGGCATACGATTTCTTGAAACGTTTACAATATATTCAATACTTTAAAAAAAATTAATCTGAAATATTCGCTCTACAATAAGTCATTCTTTTCGCTTGAGAAGGATAAAAGGCATCCACTGCCCAAACACCATCTCCATTGATAGACTACTTAGAGAGATGAAAATGGAAGCAGTTTCCGAAATAATCGAAAAAAGCAGGAGGGATCACTCCTAAGCTTTCTCGAATATTCTTAAATAACACTCCGGTGGACGGCAACTCGGGATATAGACATGATTTTTAATCAATTTTAAATACTTAAACTTTTTAAAAATATAATACAATTTCGTAGAGAAAGGAAGTGAACAGCAAACAATGTGCGGAAAATTAGTACTTTATAAATTTATATACGTTTTTCGAAAAATCGGAAATAGCGTAAAGTACTTCTTCCGTTAAATGGAAATTACTCAAAATTTGAAAGAAGGCAGAGAGAATTAGATCTTTTACATATTCGTGACATTTCATCTATCTATCTGAAACAGTACCCATCTTACAGGCTTTTGAAAATTCTAAACGTAGAATTAGTTCCACTTCTGGTTACCGGAAATCACTGAAAAGTTGATACAGAATTACAGATTTGATATTACACTTATATATTAAACGTCATGAACCTAGCTGTAATGGTACTCAAGTTATCGTGTTCACAGACACATCAATAGACATATTGGCAAAACTGCTATACTATGTTTTTCCGACTCAATGAGGTGTAAATTTGTGAAAATCTCGATTTCGATTGTTTGCACAATTACAATACTTCCTCAATACTTCGTATACGAGAAAGTGAAAAGAAGATGGCGCTGGATGGGACTCGTCCTAAAAATAAATCCAGTTAATATCACAGGAATGGCGCCTAACTGGACGCCTTAAGGGAACAAGAAAACATGGGAAGCCAAGGGAGACGTGGAGGCGTGAGCAGAAAATCAACTGACAAAAACAGGACTATCTTGGAGGAGTGCATAGAAAATTGCCAGAGACCAAAAGTGAAAAGAGCTTTCTGTGGCGCCCCATGTGTCCTGGGTACAAAAGGAAAAGATAAAGATGATGCGTGTTGCAACTCCCTACCCTATAGATAGTGGACATCACGAACACGTAAGTGAAATTCTCTTTCCGAATCTGACGGTCCATGGGGCAAGTGAAGTAGAGTTTCTGTGACCTCGGCATATGAAGGGAGAATGTGGTCATCACTATGCCTAGCCGCCTTTAATTTCCCTAATGTGAGATAGGTACCCATCAGAGCTGGGTGGACTCAATGACTTTTACTTGAACCCGGATTTGAACTCGTAAATCAGATAAAAACAGAAAGAAGTACAGAATACAAGAAATGATATAAAAAAAATAGCGCCTCAAGTAACAGAACTAAAATAACGAGGAAATAAATACTATCTATAGCATTTACTATTAAAACTACACTAAAACAAAAAAAAAGCAAAATTACTGAAACATATATATCCTACCTAATTGAACACAGCTACACACAAAATAAGCGATCAAATATATATAATTTCAAATCCCAACTCCCTCTGACTATTGAAACACACAAACTACTACTGAACCACAACGTGCCAAACGCCTAAGTTTTTTCAGTCTTTTTCAATGTTTTGATACCAATTTAACCGTCTCGATGGCATTATTTTAATTTATTGAAACCGAATACATGGTGTTATTTTTATTAATTAATACCATGTATACAGTTTTATTTTAATTAATTGAAACAGTCCACTTAGCATTATTTTAATTAGTTGATACCATCTACAAAGAAGTCTAGTCAACTAAAATTTATCATTTATTTTTACAACTAATTTTTCCTTCTTCTTTCATAAATATAATACAAAACTGAATCTCATCCAGGACAAATTAGTATATTGTGTCACCATGTTATTCGCCATGACTCCGATTTCAACACTGCTTTTCTTTCTGGATTTTTTTTCATAGTCTTTGTTCACCGAGAACTATTTCGCAAGGCAGCCGTTGTTTGGAGTGTGAGTTTTCTCATGGGTTGCTCTTCTAACCAGCCTCATTTGCCCGGGGTTTGAACTCGAGTCTTTTAAAGTTGGCAACTGTACACTCTCGCCCGACCACGCTGCCCCCTGCCACCTATCGTCATCGGACGTTGTGACTGTCCAGGTTAAAGGATCATCCTTACAGCTTTCAATATGAATCGTTTCCTATGGCTGATGGTACATAGTTTAGTTAAACCTAGACATCATAATAGTCACTGTTGCATATTTAATTTACACTTAGTTCTTCTTCTTGGACGTGAAAACACCCCCCCATCAAAATTAAATATTACTTGTTTAGCGCCACATAAATCATTGACTCAGATTATATTTAAATCGATTCAAATGTATTTACAACACTGAAGGCTAAGAATAAAGTAGTGATAAATTTAATGCTTAAAAAAATGCAAGTTTTATTTAGTTAAACAACTGTAAGACATCCCTGAGCGCAACATGGCACATCTTTCTTTTTCTTCTTCATCGTCCTTAATTTTAGTGTTGGCAGGGATCCCCCTTCAACACAACTGATTATGCGCCATTGAGGCCATTGACTCCGATTTCAGCAGGCTTTTCATTTTGGGTTTGCTTCCATAGCCTTTGTGCAACCAAGAACAAAGTACAAGGCAGCAGTTTTTGATTTTGGAGTGTCCCTCCTAGAAGAGTGGCTGTCCCTAGCTAACGAGCCTCATCTGCCCGAGGGTTCGAACTCGAGACTTTTCGGCTCAGCAACCATGAGCTTTACCGACTCGACCACGCCGACCCCACATTGTAAATGTTTTATAAGACTGTTGGGCGGTTTAGCGGTAGAATGCGCACATGAAAGCAACGAGTTCTAGAACGTAGGTCGTCCCCTGACCGAACTGCTGACCACCCTCCCAAACCAGGTGGTGCCCCAAGTGGTGCGATGTACCGAACAAGGAAGCAAAAGCTTGGCTGATACCCACGAGTCTAACGGCTGGTAATACACGATTCTTACCCCTGCCCAAGTCTACATGGCTAATGAACATTGCTTGGGCCGGCAAGAGTAAGGTTGATTTTTTTTGTTTATAATAAGTTATTCACATTTTGTGAGTTATCGAATTTGTTTTCTTGAAAAGACTGCTGTAGACAATATGTAAAAAAAGCACTATAACAAAATGTAAGAGAGCACATTTGTTAATCAAACTTTATTTAAAAACAAAAAGACATTTGCAATACGCTTTGCTAAATTGTGGAAATAGGCATATTCTTTGTTATAAAAAAATAAAAGTAGATAGATACAATATTTTATTGTGTTAATTTGTTTATAATATTTATTCAGATTTATTATTAAAAACCAAAATTGCACCCAACAATAATATGTGCACTGGTAGCAGGGCAAATGAACACATGAGAAATTATCTTAAGACAAATGATTCCAGACAAAATATCCCCCCACCCCCTAAGAGTGTGACGTCATTTATATGGTTAACAGAAAAATGCGCAAACGGAAATCTGCGCAAACAAAAAAATACACAAATACAAACTAATTACAACGATACACATGAATTTTGTCATATTTCGTGGAAGAGTGTTTCATTATGCTACAATGTACAAATGTTCATTTTTGATAATGTCTATAAATGCTCGATGAAAGAAAACAAAATGCCCTAGCGCACTTTTTTTTGTGCCCAGTTTTTTGTGTGAAGTTTTCCGTTGCCCATCTTTCTGGTCACCCATTTACAGACGACCCCTTACTTTTCTTTGGAGATGATGTAAAGTTTTGTTTCCACATTGTATTAGCAAGTTGAGCATATCAAGGCCTCGCGTCTGTAAACACCACCTCTAGAAGTCCGAGTAAATGCCTGAGTTTCTGTTCTTCAAATGGAGCTGGCGGTGATGTAAATGATGAAGTTGACGCTGCAGCTGAGCATGTACAAGACTGTCTTAACATCTTGACATAAATAAGCCGTTGTAAAGGAGACCTGAGTCGCGTACTGTGTGATGAAGTCCATCAGGCATGTGGGGATCCAAATGATGGCCGCCACTACACACACGACTAGATACAAGATAAACATTCTCCTACGTAAAGATTGAAGATCCCACATCTTAGAAATATTGCACATCACATCAAACATTTATGTATACAATTTGGATGCATACATGTTTATTAGTTTATTAACATACTAGACAGGACCTAAAATTATCTTCACTTGTGAAATAAAGAAATGTTCTAACAAAAAAAAACACGCATTTTAAAATACATCTGAAAAGCTTTCATTGCGCTTTTGCATTTAGAAAAATGTATGAATATATACATACATATATATATATATATATATATATATATATATATATATATATATATATATATATATATATATATATATATATATATATATATATATATATATAGCGATGTTGTAAAGTAGAGGTGAACTAGATATAGAAAGTTATGTCAGTCTATAATTCGGTAGCATTTTTATACAAAAACACTTAAAAAATTAAGTACCATCAACAATACTATATTTAGAGTCTATATACTTTTAAATACATCATAATTTTTCACTAGAATAATCTACAAATTAGCTAGAGTCTTGAAGAAAATTACATACAAGTTAATACCACCCTCAGATAGCGATGACGTATTATTTATCGTACGACTATAATTGCCATGATTATCTGTAAAATTAAGTGGTTTTTTTTTAAATAAAAAAAGACTTAATACTCTACAATCCCAAGCTAGAAGAATCATAATTAGGATATAATTATTATGTAAACTATTGACTTTAACCTTGCATATAATTTTTTACAACCAGTGTTTTGTTCCTGTTTATTTGTACAGCAATAATTTTTCTTCAACGGTCAAGTATTTTAAAATAATCGACGTTCAACTTTCGGTATACAATTTCAAGTCTAATTTAAAGACGTCATCGGTATTAATATCATGTAATTTCCGTAATTTTCTGGTCGGTCTGATATTTCATTGCCACAGACGATTAAAGAGAAAATAGCACATTAGCTTAATGAATTAAATTCTTATAATTGTATGTGACATTTTAGAAGACCTTTTACTTATCGATTGTCCACATTTTAAATCGGGTACGTTTGTTACAGCTTAGATACGAAACGCCTCAAATAGAGTGACATTAAAATGAACTGAACGAGACGTTGTTTTAGAAAGGGTTGAGTACAGTGTGTGGTAATGACCGTTTCTTGAATTGTGTAAATATTCTCAGATTTAGTCGACGAGAAAGAAACTAAGTAAATGGTTTTGTTTTAAATTAACATTAAATGCAAAATACGTCATACGTAATCATAAGGCGGATCTAATAAACCGAGACTTACTGTACTACGTTAGTTATCTGGCGCAAGTGTTATTGAAACTTTAATCTAAAGGTTTTAATTTAGTATTTTGAAATTTAATTTGAATATATAATTTGAATATTTTAAATTCTATAAAGAAAAAAAAAAGCAATTAAAAATGTAATGAAATTATATTTTGAGAGTGTGATTAATTGAAAATAATAATTGAAAGTCAATTTGTATAAGCTTTTCAATCTCTATAGAATTTACATTATTATTATTGATTGCAAAAATCGTTATAAAAATTAATTACAAATGTTTATAAAAACATTTACTAAAAATAAGACAATTTAAAAAATAGAACTCAATGCATCCCTTATTAAATAACTATAAAGAAAAGTGTGAGTCGCTATATTATTATTATTATGCAATGAATATCACTACTAAAATATTTAGGAGAGACCCACACCCTTTTTAATTAAAAAAATTATATATATATATACACATATATATATATATATATATATATATATATATATATATATATATATATATATATATATATATATATATATATATATATATATATATATATAACACGATTTAACAACACGATTCGATTCTATAAATATATAATAAATACTAATTTAAAATTGCAATTAGTTTTTGTTTTTTACTAACAACCTTCACTGATGTACTAAAAGAGAGAAAATAAAAAAATTGTAAATGTACAGAAAAGCATCATTGTTAAAATATATGTATAGAAAAACATGTGTCGCAATATTATGTGGTAAATACGCCTATTAAATTTCTTAATTTGAAATCAAACGCGAAACGTGTAAATATCAAAATTAACCATGATAAGTACATGTACATTTAAAGTTGAAACTCAAAACAGAATGTTTATCATTTGATGTTAAATTTGAATCTTACATTTCATGTGCAATTTAACATTTCATTTATTTATTTTTGCTTTTTGTCTTAGTAAAAAAAAAAGCAAGTTGGTTTAGCATTACTGACTACGTCGCAAAAAAAAATATTTGAAATGGCGGTTGAAGAAGATGTTTTGTACGTACTTGACCTGCTGGTCGACTGTGGGCTTTTATTCGTCCTCGCCCTACTCGGCATCTTTGGGAACATCAGCAACATCCTGGTCCTACGCCTGCAAGGGTTCACCGACACCACCAACATGATATTGATCTCCCTATCGTTCACTGATCTGCTCGTGTCAGTCCTATACACCCTCACCCAACTCCACACCTTGATTTCACAGTTCAATATTGTTTTATCGATCACCATTCCTAGTCTGTTGGGTGTTTGTTTACTTCCGCTGACCTTCACCTTGATCGCCATCAGTATCTGCCACACGACCTTCATAGCCGTAGAACGCGCGGTCGCCGTCTGCTTCCCGTTCCACGTGACCAGGATCTTCACCAGATCAGCCACCAAAAACATCCTCATCGCCATCTACGCATTGACCTTCGGCTTAACCTCGCCTCATTACTTTATCGCTGGTTTCCAGTGGAGTTTTAACGAATTTCTCAACGCGACGATAGCAACGATCGTAGAAGAACCGTTCCCCATGGATCACGTTATATTCAACACTTACAGTCTGGTGTTTGTAAATATCCTCTACTCTGTTGTTACTTTAATCATCATCGTCGTATGTTCTTTCCTGATTATTATACAACTAATAAAAATGGGACATAAGAATGTGGCTAAACAAGCTCGCTATAAAAAAAACGAATTGAAAGTGTTTAAAACTCTTCTAGTCGTGTGTGTAGTGGCTGCCATCATCTGGATCCCCACTTGTCTGATGGACTTCATCACACAGTACGCGACTCAGGTCTCCTTTACAACGGCGTATTTATGTCAAGATGTTAAGACAGTTTTGTACATGCTCAGCAGTAGCGTCAACTTTATCATCTACATCACCACAAGCTCCAAGTTTTATAAAACTTATAAGAGGATCTTCTGTCGAGGGGAATACAGAAGTTTAATGCGTTAGCGCTTGGTATAATGTAGAGTAGATTTGACTTGATCGGTATAATGTAAATTTGACTTGATCAATATAATGTAGAGTTGACTTGATCAGTATAATGAAGATTTGACTTGATTGTTAAAATGTAGAATATAAATGACTTGATCGGTATAATGTAGATTTGACTTGATCAGTATAATGTAGAGTTGACTTGATCGGTATAATGTAGACTAGAGTTGACTTAAATAATCGTTAATTGATGGTGAATGCATATGAAGTTAGTTGACTTTTTTTGTTGTTTTTGTTACCAGCAAACGAATATTAGTCTCTCCTACCTCTCTAAGTATGCTCTAATTAACCTAACAATGGAGTTGTAGAATTGTGTAACTCAGGCTAGAAACTTGCAGATTATTGTTGCAGAGAAAAAAAAATCTTTTACTTTGATTTGCAGGACATGCTTGTGTTGTTGATTGGCTGGTGTTATGTTAGTGCAATCAATTTATAAACATAATATTTTAAGTTGGTGTACATCTAGGTGATCGATTGCCTAGATTGGTTATTCTCTTTTATCGTATTTCTTGCGAAATGTGTGTACATCTAGATGGCCTAGATTTGTGTTAATGTTTAATTTTTTAATGCTACATGTGTGTAAATCAATATTGCCTAGATTTGTGATTATATTTTATCTCATTTCATGTTATTTTTTTTGTAAGTTTATTAAAATTATTGAAGTTTCCTTAAAAAAACTTTATAAAGAATTTAGAAATTCATAATCATAGCCATGTGGGGTGTCAGTGGTTTTTCTAAAAGACATTCAGACCGTCGGCACATTACACTCACTTCAGAGGCGCTACGGGGACAAACTTTCGATTTACACCCCCCTCAAACTTTCGATTTACACCCCCCCCCCCTCAAACTTTCAATTTGTTTTTCCAACCCATTTTGGCGCCCCCCTAAGGTCGGCTCCCGAGGACATATGTCCCCCCCCCCGCCCCCTCGCTACGCCTCTGACTCACTTACGTACTAAGAATCATTTGTATTTATAAGTTGGTAAAACGCATGAATAAAGCTGAACTATTTGATGTTGATAAAACACTCGACTTTTCCTCAATACTAGACTTTTTATTGGTTTAGACTAAAGTTTGCTGGGAGTCAAATAGCCAGTTAATCCACCTAAAACATGATAACAACGTGTTTCCAGGAATTCGTCCATTATAAAAGAAAACAGTCAGAAAACTAATAAAAACGAACTAAAATTCTGATAAAATGGCTAGCCTGTATTGTTACTCCAAAAAATAAAGACTGAAAGTATGAATGACAGAGTACGTTATGAATCAGTCTATGACATGTTACTATATTGTTCAAAATAGTAACTTCATTTGCATGATGTTTTTCTTTTTATAATAAATCTATGTATTTTTTGTTACATATACAGTTATTAATAATAACTTTTCAATGTTTATGATTAAAATTTAAATAGTTTTTAGCATAACAGCTTAGACATTATTATTATATTTTACCGAGAAATATAGTTCTAAACTTGTAAAATTTCTTACTATTTGTTAAAAAAATAATACGCAAAATAAGAAGAATTTCCAAGAAATTTGTTAAGATTTGAATTTTCATACTGTTTACCTATTAAAATCGATGTTCTTGTTTTATTTTGAAATAGCTCACGTTGTATTGAAACGACTGGCTCCGTCATAAACTATTTGAAATGACCGATGAAGCATGTGTCGTCTACCTACTCGACATACTGGTCCACCGTGGCTTCATCTTCATCCTCTTTCTTCTCTGCATCGTTTGGAGCATCAGCAACATCCTGGTACCACGTCTGTCAGGGTTCAACGCTACAACAAACATCGTATCAATCTCCTTCTCATTCACCGATCTGCGAGTCTCAAGGCTACACACTCTCACCCAGGCAAACGGATTCTTTTCGAAATTTGACTTCATATTTTCCATCAACATCCCCAGTCTGATAAACGTTTTTGTTCTATCCTCTGTCCATCAGATGGTTCGCCATCAGTATCTGTCCCGTGACCCTCATTGTATCGGTTGCTGTTTCACGTCGCTTTGATATTTACCAAGACATAGGTCAAGAGAATCGATATTGATACATACTTGTTGACTGTTACTCAACTTCGCTGCATTATTCAGTGAAAATTCTCCAGTGAAGTTTTGATGAAGTGTTGAACGTGACGATCATAGAAGAGCCGTTTCTACATAGACGCTAATATATTCAACACCTTCCATCCAGTGGTTTCAAATATTCTCCTCTGTTGTTACTTCAACCCTAGTTGTTGATTGTTATTTGTTTAGCGTGCAGCTTATAAAGAAGGGAATATACCAATGAAGTCAAATGCGGGAGAGGTCGATAAGATGTGTTTTTTTTAATTGGACGTTAATTTTCAGGGTAGTTATAGATACAATCACGACTGCAAGTAACTAAATACAATTTTTTCTATAATTATTGTGTTATTCCCCGTAACAGTCGTTTTGTAATAGTATCTGTAGGAATTATCGTGCACTTATTATTAACCGTTATGTAGTTTTATATCTATGTTACATTGTTTTAATGTAATTTTCGTATATTTGTAAGTAAAAATCAGTGTATCTTGTTGTAGGTAATTTTTTTTAATACTTGTAAATCTAACGTTGTTAATTTTAGTTTTGGTCGTCTATGTTTTATGGTATCCCCAATTTTAAACACATTTAAAATGGATTTAAAAAAAAGTTTCAGAATATAAATTGGTGTATAGAAACTTTAAAAAAATATGCAAATGAACATCTCCCGAAATAAACTATTAATACCAAACTAATATGTTGAAGTTTGTTCTATTTGTAAACTCTCTCAAATATTTTGGCATTGTCAATATTTACCACTTTTATCTTAGAGTAGAATTGTCACTATTTACAATTTTTTCTTAGAGTAGAATAATTGTCAATAGTTACCACTTTTCCCCTTAGAGTAGAATTGTCAATATTTACCAATTTTTTCATTAGAGGAGAATTGTCAATATTTTTCATTTTTTTTCCTTGGAGTAGAATTGTCAATAGTTACCACTTTTTTCTTAGGGTAGAACTGTTACTATTTACCATTTTCTATTTCCTTAGAGTAGAATTCTCAGTGTTTACCACTTGATCTCAAATGCAAGAAAAAATTGTCAGATTCCTTTAGAAAAGGTGTGGTAGCGAATAAAAAAAATAATGAGAATAGTAGTTTCCAATTGTAATATTTCTTGAGTCTGGCGAGGCATGAGACAAGACCTGCATTTGTCCACACTACCACCCATATGCCACAGTTGGTGCTGTATGAAAACATTGAGTGTTCGTAGATCAACTTCCACGACCGTCCGTGTGTAAGGGCGCTCTTGTGACACATAATAGCTGGGGCGCCGGGTGCTACCCTTGGTTTGATTTAGTTGTAGATTGTAGTAGCCCACACGACCCCTGTTGGATGGTGCTCTTTAAAACTAGGTAACGTAATATGGGACGGAGTAGCCTAGGGGTAAAGAGCTGGACTGCTAACCCGTAAGTCTCGAGTTCGAATTCTGGGTTCAAGTCCACCCAGCTCTGATGGGTGCCTAACTCACGTTAGGGAAAGTAAAGGCGGCTGGGTATAGTGCTGACCACACTATCCCTTCACATACCGAGGTCACAGAAACAAGTGAACTCTACGTCACTTGCCCTATAGACCGTCAGGTTTGAAAGAGAACTTAACTAGGTAACATAATGTGGAAGACTAGGCGCTACAGGCCACATATTATAGGACGTGTGTAGTGACTCAACCAAAGACACGATTTACAACAAAAAAATAATAAGATAAAACTTCGTGTTGTGTCAAGAAATATTACCTTTTAATTTAAACTATACGACAAATTAACAAACCTTCAGTATTCACAACATTTTGAGGTACGTATAATAACAAGAAATCTGACTCTATAAATCTGAGAGACGATTTAATGATTGCGCAATGGAAATCAAGTAGAGCTAAAAGTTTGTCATGTATGGCCTTTCCCAACACCCCAAAACGCCTGTCTCATTACTTCAAAGTTAGCAGATGTCTAATTCAATCTACGAGTCTCACTAATTAAGTAAATCACATAGTCTCACTACAAGTATCTGTATGTAAGTCTCATTACTTGAGCTTAAACAAGTGCCTTTATGTAAGTCTCACTACAAGTGTCTGTATGTAAGTCTCATTACTTGAGCTTAAACAAGTGCCTTTATGTAAGTCTCACTACAAGTGTCTGTATGTAAGTCTCACTACTAGAGCTTAAACAAGTGGCTGTATGTAAGTCACACTACAAGTGTCTGTATGTAAGTCTCACTACCTTAGTTTAAACAAGTGTCTGTAATGTAAGTCTCACTACTTGAGCTTAAACAAGTGTCTGTATGTAAGTCTCACTACCTGAGCTTAAACAAGTGTCTGTATGTAAGTCTCACTACCTGAGCTTAAACAAGTGCCTGTATGTAAGTCTGACTACCTGAGCTTAAACAAGTGCCTGTATTTGTTCTCACTACCTGAGCTTAAACAAGTGCCTGTATTTGTTCTCACTACTTGAGCTTAAACAAGTGGCTGTATGTAAGTCTCACTACAAGTGTCTCTATGTAAGTCTCACTACAAATGTCTGTATGTAAGTCTCACTACCTGAGCTTAAACAAGTGTCTGTATGTCGCCGAGAACTTGGAGCTGGTTGTGACGTAGATGACGAAGTTGACGCTACAGCTGAACTGATACAGGACACAGTTGACGCTCTGGGCCAGGTAACTGAACCCGTCCGTCCTGGCCAAGCCGTCCCCGTAGATCTGCAGCATGTCCAGCACCGCTGTGGGGACCCACACCACCGCCGAGACCAGGCACACCGTCAGCAACATCTTAAACACCTTCATTTCCTTCAGTTTGGATTTGGACGAGTCCATTGATCTTGTGATTTGTTTTTTGTAGAACTCGGACCTCAGTTTAACGATGATGACAAAGGAACAGAAAAGGATGATAATGAGCGTGAAAACAGAAAATAACATGTTTAGGAATCCCACACTGTACGTATCAACTACGTTTAAATTGTCCTGGTAAAACCGTGTGTTGATAACCACAGCAACGTAAGCGTTGTAGAACTCATCTTTGACCCATTCGTAACTTAACCTCATAAAGACTGGCGAAGACATGACGATGACGATGAAATAAACGATAAAAACTGTTCGTTTAACGCGAGATGTAGTGAACAAACGAGACACGTGAAACGGTAAACTGACAGCGATAAGCCTCTCTACAGCGATCAACGTGATGTGGCACATACTAATCGCTATCAGAGTCACGGAGGGGGCGAAGAGAAACGCGGTAGTGATCGATTCGACGGTGGTCGATAGTGGGATGTTGAACTGGGAGATGACGCATTTCAGCCTGCGGGCTGGCGTGACGAGAGAGTAGAGGAGATCGGATGTTGAGAGCGATGTCAAGATGATGTTGGTGGTGTCCTTGAACCCGTGATGAGAGAGTACAATGATGTTGATGATGTTGCCGAAGATGCCGAAAAACGAAAGTGCGTGTATGAGAAAACAGTTGAGGAACATGTCTGCGGTGTCAAAGAGCAGACCAAAATCTTGTACTACGTAGCAGGTGACGTTAAGGTTCTCTTCTACACCTGGCGATCCACTCACCTGTGTTGGTGTTGTGGTGGTTTGGATTGAGATGTTGGTATGTGAACTCATTGAGTAATAATCCATATTACAGCATCAACGCCTGGAATTTTTATACAGACTATTTTGTTTAATTCGTATCTTTTCAAGGTTGCGAAAACAATGTTTCAGAAGTACTAACATTTGCATAATATACTACATTTATTCATAAATGTGGTTTTATTCAAGTTTTTTACTATCTTCCCGGGAAATTGCAAAAGAAATTCGGTTAACAAATGTGAATACAATTTGGTTAACAAATGTGAATAAAATGAGAAGAGTATTTTCTATTGTTTAACACGAAAATTGAAGTCGTCCTAGAAGTTCGAATGTCCTGATATGGTTTGAAGAACTTAACCAACGTTTAGTTATCGAAGTTTTACAAGCCGCTATTTGTTAGGAACTCGCTACTTATTTGTGCCGCTGTCATTTGTCCGACCAATATTTAGGCATCGAATTGTAAGATAGAACACAATTGCAGGTTTTATCAAACACTAAATTCAGAAATTTTACATTGAAACTTAAATGAAATTGAAATACTTAACCACTAGAATCAACGTGAATAGCGACTGGGTTGTAATTGGTGGTTACGGTGGTTAGACTAACCATTTCGTGTATAAACCGTCAAATGTTTACAAACTAATCACGGGCTATTAGTACTATTACCAGATACTAGTAACAGTAACTTCATAATTATAACGTTCAATAGAGAATTAGACCTTTTTATTTTCTAAGTATAAACCATTGAGATTTCAAGTAGAAATTTACTTCACATAATTAATAATAATGGACTTTGTTTTCTGTATTTTTTATGTTTTTTACTTTAGTTACTTCCCCCTGTATGTGTAATTAGTGTTTTATTCCTTGTAGGACATAGTTGTTAGTCTTCTTAATTAAGAGTGTTTAGTATTAATTAAATGTAAACTTTGTAGTTAGAAATCGTTGGTGTAATTTATAAAAAAATTGTGACATAACACTTGTTTACAATTAATTTACGTCTAACCCTTTAGTGTGTTATAATTATGCCCCATTCAATTGATCAATCCTATATTAATAATATTATTATAACCTACTACACTGTTTATAGAATTGTGTTTACTCAACGTGAGTATAACAAAGAATTAGAAACGCTTTTCACTAGTTTAAAATGTTGGACTATTTTTTATGTGTTAGGAAAAAAAAAATAGTTTAATAAGACATTTTTTTGTCTAAGAAAAATTACTTTAACAACACATTTTGTATGTCTAAGTAACTAACTATTGCAACTATTGTATTGAAACCTTTACCTTAAATTAAAAAAAACTCTGTTGTGACCGCCAATTGAAATAACGCGTTTTAATATTTATCAAAACTGTGTTATCGCTTGCATAAAGTTTTGATTGGCAAAAACTATATTGGAGAAGTTTAATATAGGCCCTGATGATCCATATGGAAAGAACAGAAATAAAAGGAGGCAGATCAGAGCATCATTTTGTATTTCTGGTGTACTTCAGTGAAATGCAATGTCGGGATGATAATTCAAGAAATTCCATGATTATAGTCAAGTACATTGTTAATTGTTTTCTGTTGAAATATACATTTTAACCTTTAATACCAACATTAATTTTTCAAATGTGAGATTACTTTTTGTTGCTGATGTTCTGTGTTAAATCTGCTACTTTATATGTACATGAGGGTAGCAATCGCTGACAGGAAACTTATATGCGACTACGTGAAATGGAGTAACAGTAAATTACCAACATATTTTCCTTTCATGTTTGGCAGCATTTTAGGCTATTTTATAAGACATGATGATGGGACAACGTGGTCAAGCAATAGCGCGAATGACCACAATGTCCTGGAAATGTATGACTTCTCTCCACCCTTCTCTATTGGGTACCTGTCTCACGTTAAGGCTAATGAACCACACATATTCTTTGGATGCTTAGTCACGAAAAAAGCAGAACTCTACTTCACCTGCCCTGGTGCCCGTTATATCGAAAGTGGTATATTCTGTGAGACATTCGTTTTTCAGCCAACCAATACCGTGGCGAACGTTAATCTAGAACAAAATTTGGAGCTGTTTAAAGGGTCTTCAAAGAAAGGGACCTTTAAGTATGGACTTTTATTATTGTCTGTGTAATATTGTGTCAAATAAAGTTTAAGCTGAAGAGATAGGCAAGGTTTCGTTAGAAACTTGAGATTTCAAGCAAATAAAAAAATCTTAATGACTACTTATACAAATAAAATACATATAAAAATCAACACAACTTTCTTTTATTTTTATTTAAAGACCAATGTTCAAATCATGCTGAACAATATCATAATTGATTTCATCCAAGTTAAAGCATGTGTATATTTCTAAAATAAAATGCGGAAAATAAAGTGTCAAGCTTCCACAAAATGAAAAAAAAAAATGTTTGAGATTCTGAAATGAGTCCCTTTAAACGAATTTCAACAGCACAAGAATTTTTTTTTCTCTCACATTTGTTGAGCCATATTTGTGGAGATAACTGATACAGAAACACAAAGAACCGTATGTGACGCTAAACTCTACCACACAATGTACAGAAGAATCATCAGAAAACCATTCATTCTTTATGTTGTTAACTTTCTCAAAAGGACACATCCCTTCGTCCTTGTGTATCTGGTTTATAAAGGTGTGGTTAATTAAACTACAAGATGGGGGTAAATTTTGTGTACTATCTATTAGAAAATGTAAAATAGCTATCGCAATAGAAGTGTAGCCATGTATATGTGCTAAAAAATAATGCAAAAATCATGCAATCACCGCTCAACAGGTGGGGTAGAGTGTACAGCCCCTCCAACAGAGACTGTGTGAGCAGCATAGAATAGAGCAGTACGTCAATGATAAAGTAATAAAGTAGAGCAGAGCAGTACGTCAATGATATAGTAATAAAGTAGAGCAGAGCAGTACGTCAATGATAAAGTAATACAGTAAAGCAGAGCAGTACGTCAATGATAAAGTAATAAAGTAGAGCAGAGCAGTACGTCAATGATATAGTAATAAAGTAGAGCAGAGCAGTACGTCAATGATAAAGTAATACAGTAAAGCAGAGCAGTACGTCAATGATAAAGTAATAAAGTAGAGCAGAGCAGTACGTCAATGATATAGTAATAAAGTAGAGCAGAGCAGTACGTCAATGATAAAGTAATACAGTAAAGCAGAGCAGTACGTCAATGATAAAGTAATAAAGTAGAGCAGAGCAGTACGTCAATGATATAGTAATAAAGTAGAGCAGAGCAGTAGGTCAATGATAAAGTAATAAAGTAGAGCAGAGCAGTACGTCAATGATAAAGTAATAAAGTAGAGCAGAGCAGTACGTCAATGATATAGTAATAAAGTAGAGCAGAGCAGTACGTCAATGATAAAGTAATAAAGTAGAGCAGAGCAGTACGTCAATGATAAAGTAATAAAGTAGAGCAGAGCAGTACGTCAATGATAAAGTAATAAAGTAGAGCAGAGCAGTACGTCAATGATAAAGTAATAAAGTAGAGCGGGGCAGTACGTCAATGATAAAGTAATAAAGTAGAGCAGAGCAGTACGTCAATGATATAGTAATAAATTAGAGCAGAGCAGTACGTCAATGATATAGTAATAAAGTAGAGCAGGGCAGTACGTCAATGATATAGTAATAAAGTAGAGCAGAGCAGTACGTCAATGATAAAGTAATAAAGTAGAGCAGAGCAGTACGTCAATGATATAGTAATAAAGTAGAGCAGAGCAGTACGTCAATGATATAGTAATAAAGTAGAGCAGAGCAGTACGTCAATGATATAGTAATAAAGTAGAGCAGGGCAGTACGTCAATGATATAGTAATAAAGTAGAGCAGAGCAGTACGTCAATGATATAGTAATAAAGTAGAGCAGAGCAGTACGTCAATGATATAGTAATAAAGTAGAGCAGAGCAGTACGTCAATGATAAAGTAATAAAGTAGAGCAGAGCAGTACGTCAATGATATAGTAATAAAGTAGAGCAGAGCAGTACGTCAATGATAAAGTAATAAAGTAGAGCAGAGCAGTACGTCAATGATATAGTAATAAAGTAGAGCAGAGCAGTACGTCAATGATATAGTAATAAAGTAGAGCAGAGCAGTACGTCAATGATAAAGTAATAAAGTAGAGCAGAGCAGTACGTCAATGATATAGTAATAAAGTAGAGCAGAGCAGTACGTCAATGATAAAGTAATAAAGTAGAGCAGAGCAGTACGTCAATGATAAAGTAATAAAGTAGAGCAGAGCAGTAGGTCAATGATAAAGTAATAAAGTAGAGCAGAGCAGTACGTCAATGATATAGTAATAAAGTAGAGCAGAGCAGTACGTCAATGATATAGTAATAAAGTAGAGCAGAGCAGTACGTCAATGATATAGTAATAAAGTAGAGCAGAGCAGTACGTCAATGATAAAGTAATAAAGTAGAGCAGAGCAGTACGTCAATGATAAAGTAATAAAGTAGAGCAGAGCAGTACGTCAATGATAAAGTAATAAAGTAGAGCAGAGCAGTACGTCAATGATATAGTAATAAAGTAGAGCAGAGCAGTACGTCAATGATAAAGTAATAAAGTAGAGCAGAGCAGTACGTCAATGATAAAGTAATAAAGTAGAGCAGGGCAGTACGTCAATGATAAAGTAATAAAGTAGAGCAGGGCAGTACGTCAATGATATAGTAATAAAGTAGAGCAGAGCAGTACGTCAATGATAAAGTAATAAAGTAGAGCAGAGCAGTACGTCAATGATAAAGTAATAAAGTAGAGCAGGGCAGTACGTCAATGATAAAGTAATAAAGTAGAGCAGAGCAGTACGTCAATGATAAAGTAATAAAGTAGAGCAGAGCAGTACGTCAATGATATAGTAGTAAAGTAGAGCAGAGCAGTACGTCAATGATAAAGTAATAAAGTAGAGCAGAGCAGTACGTCAATGATATAATAATAAAGTAGAGCAGAGCAGTACGTCAATGATAAAGTAATAAAGTAGAGCGGGGCAGTACGTCAATGATAAAGTAATAAAGTAGAGCAGAGCAGTACGTCAATGATATAGTAATAAAGT